TAATAGAAAGGACAAATTTTTTCTAAACTTTAAGCAACATTTTTCAATAACTACCTAACCAAATTTGATGAATTGTTTTTTACTTTAATTATACACATTAAAATAAAAAAAAAACCATCGAATTTAGTCAGGTAATTAGCTCAATTTACTGATAGATAGAACTTTATTTCTTTGAGAGAAGTTTCTTGACAACTACTTGCTCAAATTCAAAGATTTTTTTTATTTTAATTCTGTGAAATTTATAGAATTAAAATAAAATAAACTTATCGAATTTAGTCAGATAGTGAGAAAATTTTGCTCAAAGTAATTCTAAAACATTTAATTTATTGATAAACAAAACAGATTTTTTTTAAGCTTTTCTCGACAACTATCAGACAAAATTTGATAAAAGTTTTTTTTATCTTAATTGTATGAATGTGTATAATATTATATGAATGTGAGAATTAAAATAAAAAAAGTTTTATAGAATTTTGCCATGTAGTTATTAAAAAAACTTCATTCAAAGTTTTAAAAAAATTGCAAAAATTGGTTGTATATATTGGCCAGTAATTAATTCTTTGATTAAATATGCTTAAAACATCAATGAATATTGTATAATCTGTTGCCAAATAGATGCACTTATGCAACTATAATCAACCACTTTAATAAATTGGCTATCAGATATCAGAAATGACAGGTTATCGGATATTACTTATGAAACTGACATGGTGAACCAAATTTTAATCATTTATAACAGGTTATCGGTTTTGACAAGATCAGTTTTGGGAGGGTCAACAGTAATTCTAACTTCATGCACTAATTAAATTTGTTCAGCACTCAAAAATATATTAAAACTGTAGAGTTGTTTTTATTTTCCTTGAAAGTTTGAAAAAAAATATTTAATTTAGATATTTTGATCAAAAAAAATCAAAATTAAGCATCTTTTCTCAAACTTTCAAGTAAAATAAAAACAACTCTACTAGTTAAATATAGTTTTTTGTGTTGAACAAATTTTATTAGTGCATTAAGTTAAAATTAATTAATAAAATTTTGAGAATTTTAAGAGTTTGTAAAATTTTATTAATAAAATTCTATAAAATCTTAAATTTCTCAAAATTTTATTAATTAATTCTAACTTAATGTACTAACAAAATTTATTCAGAACCAAAAAATACATTAAATTGGTAGAGTTGTTTTTAGTTTATTTGAAAGTTTGAGAAAAGATACTTAATTTGATTTTTTGATCAAAATATAAAATTAAGCATCTTTTCTCAAACTTTCAAGTAAAATATATTTTTGGATGCTAAACAAATTTAATTAGTGCATTAAGTTAGAATTAATTAATAATCTTTTGAGAAATTTCAGAGTTTGTAAAATTTTATTAATAAAATTCTATAAAATCTTAACTTTCTCAAAATTTTATTAATTAATTTTAACTTAATACACTAACAAAATTTATTCAGGACCCAAAATTATATTAAACTAGTAGAGTTGTTTTTATTTTACTTGAAAGTTTGAGAAAATATGCTTAATTTTGATTTTTTGATCTAAATATCAAAATTAAGCATCTTTTCTCAAACTTTCCAATAAAATAAAAACAACTTTACTAGTTTAATATATTTTAGATGCTGAATAAATTTTATTAATGCATTAAATTAGAATTAATTAATAAACTTTGAGAATTAAGAGTTTGTAAAATTTTATTAATAAAATTCTATAAAATTTTAAATTTCTTAAAATTTTATTAATTAATTCTAACTTTAAATATTAATAAAATTTGTTTAGCACCCAAAAATACATTACTTTTGTAGAGTTGTGTTTTTGCTCTAGACTTATATTAGTTCCCGATTCCTAGTGTATAAAAAAATGACTACTCTGAAAAGACTTTAGTTTTATCAATAATTTATATAAACATGAATTGGTAGAAATATAACAAATTTATTTAATAAATTTGTCCTATTTTTATTGACTTACTTTATATTATTAGTTTAATAATAACTAAAATAGCTGATATTATATTTAAAAATTTTTTAATAATCAGCAATATAATATAAGACAAATAATCAAGTAGATAGATTTATTTGAAGAAAATTCAAGATGAAGAGGCTTTTTATTAAATCATTAAGACTTTAGAGCAGTGGATAATGCCCTTTTACAAGTTTTTTACAGAACATTTTATATTTCTAAGAGAACTTTCTACTAACTATTTATTTTCTAGCCTATTTTTTCTAAAACTTATTACAA